AAAAGTGTCAAATAGAAATTTATTATGTTACTAATGCTAATTTTTTTTTAAAAAAGGCGTGTACACGGGGTGTTCAAACACGGGTTTCCAAAAAAGTAAATTTCATATGCTGATCATTTAATGTTGGGCAGAATTAAATTTAACGAAAACAGGGAAAAAAAAAAGAATTTGTTAAATAATCAAAATTGGCATTCAAAATCAACTTTGACGCTTTAAAATACATATACTGCATGTTCCTTTTAATATATTTATTAAAAAATTTTTTTTACATAACTTTTTAATAAAGTCACGTGATACGACTGATACGTGTATGAACACCCCCGTATAAATTAAGAAATTTTCCATTATAAAATAATAAAAAATATTAATTTATTATTGTTTAAACCATGTATAATTAAAAAAAAATGTTTATTGTGAAATAAATTATGCTTTCGTAAAAAACTTTTTTTTTTCGTTGAATAAATCAAGAAAAAAATTTATAAAATAAAGAAGGAAATGCCTTCCATTTTTTAATTTACCTTTTTCTCTTTATTATGTAAATAAAAAACATTTTTCCATTTTTGATCCGCCCTCAGTTTTTCTCTTTTCGTTAAAAAGTTTATATTTATTTATTTATTTATTTTATCTCTATATCCAAACTTTTTAAACTTTTTTCAAAAAAATTCATAAAATTTAAAAAAGGAATGATTTTTATTTTTGACTTTATAAATAATTTAATTTTTTAATTAAAATAGAATCAAAATGAATTTTGACCTTCCTCAATAATTTCTTTATCTTTGCTTTTTTAAAAAAAGAATTTGCAGATCATTATTTACAATTGATTTGTCATTCTTAAAAAAAGTGATTTAATCTTAAAAGGAAATCATTTTCTTATTTTAACCTAGTAAAAAAAATATTTGACTAATCTAAAAAAGAAAGACAAATATCGAAAATCAATATAATCATTTGATTTGATCAATAAATATTGTACTTTAAAATTTTTGAAAAAAGTTTGCAATAAAATACTGCATCATCTTTTTTATAAAATCGTGGATCTATGATGGGTCCGTGCTCAAGAAATATTTCATCCCTATGAAAATGAAAGGGATCTTCTAAAATTCCTGACAACCATAATATCGACAGCAGTCCGATAAATGCAGATCCCGATTGAATTAAAATCACAGAATCCCGATGATCTGAAATCTTGACAGCCAAATCCTGACACTGGGATTAGTTTTAGATTAGTTAAGTTTTAATGCAATTGTTTCTAATTTCAGAAGATTAGTAATCTAGTAATATACTGTAAATAGTCCTTTTAATTAAAATAAAAAAATTTTCTTTTTAATTTTTTCATTAATAATATAGTAACGTTAGTTAATTTGCATTAATATTAATAAAATTTGCAACCAATTTGCATTGGTATTGATAAAATTTACAAATATTTTGCATTGGTATTGGTAAAATTTACAAATATTTTACGCTAATACTAATCAAATAATTCACGCCGCCGTATTTTTAAATTATTTGTAAAATTTATATAATTTTTTTTTTAAAAAAAACTTTGGGTTTTTGGCCGTCAAGAATTTTAACTGTCGAGATTTGTGACTATCTAGATTTTGTTTCAATCGGGATTTGGGTTTATCGGGATTTAGTTTCAATCGGGATTTGGTTTATCGGGATTTTGGCGTCGGAGTTGTAGACTGTCAATATTATGGTGTCGGGAATTTGTGGTAAACTCAAACAAAATGTGTTAAATTCGTTTATATTTGTGAAAAATCTAAAAAGCACCATTTTGTCCGATTTATGTCTTATTACAAAAAAAACAAAAATTAAACAAAATGATATTTATTACACGTGAGCACAAATATAAAACAAATTTAACATATTTCCGTCGTTTTTATAGGGGATATGCTTAATAATCAAATGAAATTAATTACAAAATGCTGTATTGCTGTATCGGTTTCGATTTTTTTGTGTAATCTCTATCATAGTCTCAATACATTAAAATCAAATAAATTTTTTCACTTTGTTTTATTTAATACTTATGTTTTTAATTATTTGTTTTGTTAACTTTATTAGCAAAATTACAAATAATGTTAAATGAACATTTTTCATATTTTAAAAGTATGACATGTTTTAAAAGAATGAAATTTTACTTCATGTTTTTCTAAGATATTACGCGTGGCTGATAATTAATCAGTAATCTATCTAACTTCTACAGTATAATCAATCCTTAAAAAATTTTATTTTATTATGACACTTATCATAAATGCAAATATGTCATTTTTATTAAGTGAGATTATCTATTTATTTCAAGGAGAGGACTCATTTTTTATTGAAAAATTCATCAAATATTTATTCATATGAGATTATTATTGTTGCACAGGTTTTTGACGATTGGTTAGGTAGTAACAGAAAGATAAATAAGGATCGATTACCAATCAGTAAGGTAATATGACGTTAAATAGCAAGTGGTGAGACAAATCGGAATATAGGTGTGTAAATAGTGAACAATTAGTAATAAAGTGTATAACAATAAGCAAACGGAATATAGCGACAGGTCAACAAATGACAATAAACAGTGCGACAATACTAAACAAATTAAATTATAACGCTTGGTTTAGATTTTAACAATAATTTTAATTCTTAAACAAATAATTTTACAAATAACATACGAGAGTTTCTCTTACTCTTATAACTTTAATCCTATAATAAATATTAAATTAAACATAATAACATTTAAACATTACTTAATTTTAAATAAAACAGATTTATTATGGAAAATCGGAAACAAATTGGCAGGGTTATTCATTAACAAATAAAATACAATATTACTACCTCTTTCGGCGCTCTGTAATATTCGTATACACACCTTCCCAAACCCTTCACAAATCGGTCCTTATATATCGTTCAAAATTCGGCACAAATTCGCTTATCGAACAAATTCACCATCCGGTCAATTTTGCCTCCGGTCAAATTCGCCGATCAGACAGTTAAGCCACTTCTATCTTAGCCACCCATCTCTAAGCCTCCGATTTCCGTCTATGATATACCCAATAAATAAATAAACTATAAAAATCAACTATATATATATATATATAATAAACTATAAATTTAACCTAAAACTAAAATAACGTATATATATTTAAAAAAATATCCCGTGACATTATCCAAAAAGGAAAGTACGGGCCATAGAAATCCATCATAATCCTGAGTTCTAAATCCTGAAACTTTATTATATTATATTCCGGTCACTATCTAGACAATTATATTTATTTTAATTATGTTTATTATTTTAAGCTAAATTTTGTTTTTTACATATGTATGAACCTCCATATTATTTTATATTATCGGATAAAAAAATTTTTTTCTTTTTAAAAAAAAAATAAAACCAATGCAAGTGGGTCAAATTAAAGTCATTCTAAGGCTTTTCCGTTTTACATCAATTTGGTAGATACATGGATATATTATATTTAAGTGAAACTAAAGCTACGTTACATTTCTGAGAAAAAATTCTTCCGAGAAAAGTGCTATGTGACTCTACAATGTGTTAATCACATGGAATGTCTGTAACAAAATTTTTACGCTCTGTTTGATTTTGGAAAAGCTTTCGTAGTTTCGTATGAATTTTATCCTATTTTACCATTTTTTCAATAATATTTTTCAAAGTAGTCAAAATTTCACTTTTCAACCCTTAGAAATTTCCTTCAATTAATACTAAACATTACAATGCGGTTAACTAAATAAGTACGTACAGTAAATATATAGGATTAGCCAAATTTAAGCCAAAAATACGCAAACTAATAAAAATTTTAATAAAATTGATGACCTAACTATGTTAAATTGTACGCAAATCAAAATTTCATTCCATTAAGATCATCTGTGTACCCTACCCTGTGAGTCCTATCTTTCTATCTGAATCAATTTTTAGCACATCTACACAATCTTTTTGAGCTAGCCACGCATAAAAAAAAATTATTTTAATATTTTCAGTTATTAAACAGTTTTTTTAACCGTAATATTGAAATTTTTAAAAAATTTTAATGCTAATTATAAATTATCTTTTTGTTATTCGCTTTATAATGAGAGTTATTAAAAAATTTTTGACTGAGACAATGGTTGTAGTAGATTTTGCAATAAGCCAATGCAAAATGTATTCATAGATATAGTATACCAACATCGCTTGTTTTAAAGTTACAATAAAATTAAAATACAAGCATTCCATTAAAATACTACTTGCATGAGCTACTTTTAAAATTTTTGTTATGAGTTTCTAAACATTTTATTGTATAAAATTAAATCTAAAACTAATTTTTTTTTACTAATTGTAAAATAAAATGTAGATCAGTCACGTAAAATTTAGTTCGGTCAACATCACAGGGCTCAGCACAGTTATAGCGAAGTCCGATCAAAGTTTAATTCGGTCAATTCACATGACTGTGCTAAAAAATTGACATTACCGGACTCAGAAAGGTCATCGGACCGGACACCGTAAATGCATAACCTTTTAATTTTATAAAAAAACACGAATTTGAAGATTCAGAGAAATTTTTTAAAGTAATAAAAATGAATACACAGCATCCAATACGTACCAAGAGAAAATCTCTTATTTATCATCATCATTTTTTTTAATAAGAAATTTGATATAAAAAAGAGAGTTAAAATTCATTAAAAAACTTAGAAAGTAAGCATTAAACAATGTTTATTTCTGTAAAACAGACAAATCTTGATATATTTATTAATGTATTATGATTCTATTGGTTTTATAATTTCTGACTTATGAATAATATACTTTTAATAACAAATAAGTAATCACCAAAATTTATATAATTTAGTATCTTGGTATATACTTATTAGGTAATAAAATATTCCGAATGAGATATTCAATGTTGAATCCTACTGGATATTGCAGTATTTTTCCTTAATGATTTCATTTATTGAATGAGATATCCATCAGTCTTTGACTGATATCTATCTAAATAAATAATAAATATATTACTTCCTTTAAAAATGTAAGAAAATCAATTTCTTAATCTAATTTCAACTAATAAATCGACACTAAGAATCATAACACGGCCACTCGTAGTTTTAATAGGAGTATTCATATCTGCTAAATCGATTTCATATTTTCTAAACAATAAAGCCATCAAACAAACTAATCCAATCGTTGCCAATTTTCTTCCTGGGCATAGTCTTAATCCTCCACCAAACATTAAAAAAGAATTCTTCTTTGGTTCAAAATTTTCATCCATCCATCTATCAGGGTTAAATTTATTAGGTTCTTCCCAATCATCATCATTATTGTGAATAGCTTTAAGATTAACTAGAAACACTGTATCAGCTGGCCAGTGATATTTCGCTATTTTACTAGGTTTATCAAAGCATCTTGATAATAAGTGTACTACTGGATGAATGCGCGCTACTTCCTTTACAATTGCTTCACAATATCCTAAATTATAAAAATCATCTTTAGTAATTGGTCGCATTTTATCACCTTGGAATATACTATCAATTTCTTTTAGCATTTTCCTCTTTACATCTGGATTATGTGCAATATAATAGACAATGAGTGAAAGCATATTCGCAGTCTATATTTGAAATAATGTTTAAATTAATTTTAAGTTAAAGCACATTGCGTTTATGTTAAATTTCAATGATTAAAAATTGTATATAAACATAAACATAAAATTTCTCTAAAAAATTTACTTACTTTGTAAGTTCCAGTATGAATTCCATCAAGTATATTAACGCGAATTTCGGTGTCACTCATAGATCTCATAGCTTCACTCATGGTTACACCAGTATGAATATAATTATCATCACGAAGTGTATTTTTAATAATCATCGATGTCAACATATCATGCGGTAATGGTTCATCCAATGGTGTTTTTTTAATTTCTTCCCTACGACTCTTAATAATTGCATCCAGTCTTTGATTAATAAATTCCATGCTTTTAAGCACTTCATCTGCTTTATTTTTAAAACATGGAACATAATGTCGTATGAAAGGAGGAATTACGAAAAATAGTGTATACTCCATAAGAAGCTTACGAAGTGCTTGAGTTAATTTTACAGAAGCTTTGACTCTTTCTGGTTCATACTCAGTTTTTTCATCACTGAGAGTGTCAAAATAAGCTGCCATTGAATAAGATCTTTTACCAGTTAACAGTTTAAAAATAATATCATTCGTGTAATGACAAAACCATTCAGAAAAATCCAATTTATTTTTATTTTCTTTAATAATTTCTTCTTTAAGAAATAACTTACTCCAATAAATTTCTAATTCATTGAAAAGTTTGTTTGTCTGATCAATAGCTTCAATAGTAAATATTGGTGACAAAATAGCTTGATTAAAAAAATGATGGTTGAACATCCACGATTTATAATCATTATTTAATGATAATCCTTTTCCTTGCAATCCCAATTCTTCTGTTCCTTGGCAATTGCGAAATCTTTTCCCAGGCGTATTTTTTGATAAAAAATCATCAAGATATTCTCTCCGACATAAAACTATAGATCGTATATTACCATATATCTCATATATGTCACTATATTTCTCGTAACAGTAATTGAAAAACGAATTGATATCTCCATTAAACCACCAATAAACGTAAGGAAAATAGTTGATTAGTGGGAATGGAAATAGACAAGGTAAAGGATTGACACGGGTAAAATATTTGTAATAATAATATGTCACATACGTCATTAACATTGTAATTAACAATAAAACAAAATCCTCAATCATCATATTATAACTTTTTTTTAAAACTATGATATTGCCAACCGTATGTATACTTTTTTTGAGTATTTTTATTATTATTCAACTAACAGGTAAATTTATATTTTTTAGTAATTAACGACTAGAACTAATTTGATTCAAGATGTGTGATCGTCAATGATCTTTTGCATGTGGTAATTAATTTTTTTATTACTTTTGCAGATCTTTTTTTTTTTTAATAACTAGGGATGCTTTGGGGCGCATTTCGCCATGTTTATACAGGATGTATTTATTAATTAAAAAAAACTTTATTTGGAAAATTTAAAGGGGCTTGCAGCGTTAATTTAAGGCGTGCGTTATTTAATTAAAATTGATGATTGAAAATATTACTGCACAAAACAATTGTGAATTTTATTTTTTTAAAAAATTAAAAAAATTGTTGTTTAAAAAAAAGTATCAAATAAAAAATTTATTATGTTGTTAATGCTAATTTTTTTTAAAAAAATTTTACTTAAGAAATTCTATAATAAAAAAAGAAAAAATTAAAAATTAAAATAATATTATAAAATAATAAAAAATATTATTTTATTATTGTTTTAAAAAAATGTACATTAAAAAAAAAATGTTTATGATAAAAATAAATTGTTTATTATTCGTTAAAAAAATGCACCAGCGCGGGTTTATATGATCACGTGACGTTTATTTATACAGTTTACATTAGGATCGGCATCGTGCATGAATAGAGAAACCGCGCAAAAAAATCACTTTATTGCGTCAAATCTTATTTGATATGATTTGCAGATCAATTTTTATGAAATTAATGTGTGACGTTAATTATAAATAGATAACACGTATATTTTTCATATGAAAGTACTTTCAATTTCTCATTTATCATAAACATAAAAAAATATTTTCCAAAAATCAAAAAAATACTGGTGTTAAAGGTATCATCCAAAACAATACGTATTAGATGCTATTGTCCTGTATTACAAATGAAATATGATTATTTACTTTATATTAAATAAATAAAAAAAAGGCAATTTCTATTTGTACACGGGGTGTTTAAACACAGGTCATATTAGTAGATTAAAAACGGCATTCAAAACCTCATTTAATGCCTTAAGTAAACTTGCAGAGCAGGTGAAAATACATATATTTATCTGTAATATAATAAGAATAAAAAGTAAAAGAGTATAATGTAGGTAACATTCAATTTCAAATTAAAAAACAAAAAATTAGTCTATTAAAAATTATATTTATATGACCCGTGTACAAACACCCCGTGTAAACTTAGAAATTTTCTAAAAAAAAATCTTATAAATAATTAAGTAATAACAAATGTATAAGTTTTCTTTAAAAAATATGAATTAAATATTCAATGAAAAATCTTATCGATTTGAAAAGAATGTTAGTTACATTCTTAAAATGAAAAAAAAAAAATAAAAAGAACTCACACCCCTGGTCAATACTCATTTACCCAAGAGTCAAAAGCCAATCCCTTTAAATAAATCCAAAAAAAAAAATGTTTTAAGATAAAAAAATCGGCTATAGGACCAATTTTATCCTTAGGACCGGTCAAAAAAATTCTCATTTTGGTAAATTAGTAAGCTGATCAACAATTTATTGACGGGTATATTAAGTGACATACCGAATTACTCCTGTAAAAAATGTTGATCCGCGTTTTATATTTCCATGTTTTCCGTGAATGTATCATTTTCGTGGAGTTTATAGCCTTAAATTATGGAAATTTCATCTCTCAAATGTGGATATCCGTGAATGTATATGAAAGCCACGGAGAAATAATGGATAAAAAACCAAATTACTATGATACTGCACGTGAGTCACAGGTCACATTCACCAAAGTTATAATCACGTGACACTGACGTTTGTGCTACTTGAAGGCTAACACAATTCTGGCCAAGATTAAAGATAATTTCTTAAATAATTCTGACCAGAATTAACTCAAAAAATTTGTTCACGAAATTAATAACGAAAAAGGGGGTGAATTGCATTGTCCATGAGAAATCAAAAAATGGAGTGAACATGTAAATAAGAGAAAAAGTGGCTTAAATGACACTTTTATTTATTAAAATAAAAGCAAGTTAAAACCTAAAAAATAGATTAATAAGGACTACCCCAGAGTAATCACAAAAAATTTCGTTCCAGCTTTACAAAATTTTGGCTTAAATTAAAATTTGTGACAGATAATATGTGGCGAATAGAAATTTTGCTATTAAAGTCCTTGACACCAGTGATGAAAAAGCCACGTGATTTTCCGTGACATTTTTTCAAATTGCTGCGATAAGTTACCATAATATAATATACCGTGATTATTAACTGATTTGTATAAAAATGGTTGTGTAAATAAATAATTTTTTTTTTTGTTTACCTTAAGAACGAAATCTATGATAAAAAAAAAAATTTTTATTTGCAGGAAAATAAACAAGAAACAATTTCTTTTGTTTAAAGTAAACAAAATATTGAACGTTCTTAAAAGAATTTTTATTACAGCAAAATTAGAAATAAAGTGGACACTTTAATGTCGGGATTGTCGGGTATTCAGGTTACTCGGCTAGTCGGGTAACTCGGGTTATTAGAGAAGATATAACACGTGACATATATACATATGATGGCGTATAAAGTATAATAAAGTATAATTGTATATACTATATAATGTAATTATGTTATATTAAAATTTAATTACAGCTGATTTCATAATGTACAGGACACTTAACAAGTTTTACAGTAAAGAACTCGGAAATATTCAGTAAATATTGATATAAAACCGAGAATGATGGTTATAATTTTATCTTATTTTGAGCTTTACCGAATATTTCCGAATTCTTTAAATTTTGCTAAGTGTCCCGTACATTATGAAATCAGCTGTAAAGTATACCCGTGTTATTTTCTTTTCCTAATAACCCGACTAGCCGAGTAACCTGAGTACTCGACAATCCCGACATTAAAAATTTTCAAGTGTCCATCATATTTCGAATTTTGCTGTAAAACAAAAAAAATTTTTATATGATCGCAGTCCTATAGGCCGGTGAGTGGCCGGTCCGCTATATATATATATTACATCCTTTAAATATAAAAAATCGATTTCTTGGTCTAATTTCAACTAATAAATCTATACAAAAAATCATTAACCACAATACCTCCTTTCATAGTTTTAATAGGACTCATATCTTCTAAATCGATTTCATATTCTAAACAATAAAGCCATCAAACAAAACTAATCCAATCGTTGTCAACCTTCTTCCTGGACATAATCTTAATCCCCCACCAAACATAAAAAAGAATTCTTCTTTGACTCAAAATTTTCATCCATCCACTTATCAGGGTTAAATTGATTAGGTTCTTCTCAATAAGAATAGCTTACTAGGAATAATGTGTCAGCTGGCCAATGATATTCCGCTATTTCATTAGGTTTATCAATACATCTTGTTAATGCGTGTATTACTGGATGAATGCGTGCTACTTGTTTCATAGTAACTTAAACGATAAAAATTATCTTTAGTAATTGGTCGCATTTTATCACCTTGGAATATACTATCGATTTCTTTTAGCATTTTCCTCTTTACATCTGGATTATGTGCAATGTAATAGACAATAAGTGAAAGCATATTCGCAGTCTATATTTGGAATAATGTTTAAGTTAAAGTACATTACATTTATATTAAATTTCAATGTTAAAATTGTATATAAATCTAAACATAAAATTTCTCTAAAAATTTTACTTTATAAGTTCCAGTATGAATTCCATCAAGTATATTAACATGAATTTCGGTATTTAACATCCACGACTTATAATCATTATTTAATGTTATCCCAATTCTTCTGCTCCTTTGCAATTGCGAAATCTCATCCCATACGTATTTTTTGATAAAAAATCATTAAGATATTCTCTTCGACATAAAACTATAGATCGTATACTACCATAAATCCATAAATCTCGTATATGTCACTATACAATAATTGCAAAACATCTTGACATCTTCATTAAACCACCAATAAATTTAAGGCAAATGGTCGATGTGTAGGAATGGAAATGGGCCAGGTAAAAGGATTGACACGGTAAAATATTTGTAATAATAATGTGAACATATGTCATTATCTTCATGAATTTGATTCAAGATGTGTGATCGTCAATGATCTTTTATTACTTTTTTGCAGATTTTTTTTTTTTTTAATTAATGGGAGTTTCTGTAATAATTGATAATAAAAAAAATATGTTTTTATATAATTGCAAATCAAAAGTTAGAAATGACGGATGAAAACTCAAATTTCATTTTTAATATAAAAAAAACTGCTTTTTTTTTATTAATGATTACCCCTATGGATGGCGACACGCATTATTTCCCGAAAATCGTTTCATCGACAATCAACTTACCGACAGTCATTTTACAGATAATCATTTTCATTGACAGGCTTATTCCTTTTTATATTAAAAGAATCATTGGTTATTTTTTGTATTTTTTGTTAATATTAATTACTCAATATGATTTTATAATATAATAAACCCTAAGTACAAAATATGTTAATTTATCCCACGGATCCTAGTTAAAATTTGTGATGACATTCTCACGAGTTGTGTCTATTTAAAAAGATGGGTAAAAATCCTATCAATATTGGAACAAAAAGTCTATCATTATTAGTCAAAATAAATATATTAAAGGACGGATACCGTCAGTTATTTCACGGAGTCACTGGAATATCATGATCTTCACGGCGTAGCCGAGAAATCATTGATATCCACAGTTCTAACTATTACATATTAAACATTTTCTTCTTGATAGTTTTAAAGGAGATCCTGTTTTTCTTCGGCTTCATTATAAAAATTGGTATTTTTTCCAAAGATCTCGAAAAACAACACAGATTTAGAGGTAAATTCCATAATAAAACGAATAAAACGAAAAAAGTTATTTAATAGTTAATAAATTAAAAAAAATAAAACAAAACAAGATAAAATAAAAATCAAAATAAAAAATAAGAAATTTTAAACTACCGCGTACATGTAGTAGCTGACCTTTAGCCAAAAATTAAATGAAGAAATCACCAAATTACTATAGAAAATAACTATAAAAATAAGAATATGTTAAAAATTAGTAAATATAATAAAATAAATAAGTTTTGTTAAAACTAATTTTTTTTTTAAAAAAAAAACAAGGCCACTTACGATAGTAAATACAGTTTTTTTGCATTTTGCGCAAAATCTGACTGAATAACCATTATTATAAGCTTTAGAAAAACTTTTCTTCTCGTAATTTTACATATGTTACTACTGTTAAAACTGTATATTACTTCCTTTCTCAACTTAGATCTTGAAAAAAAAGCTAGTTTTTAAAGCGATTTTTCAGTAATCAGTATACAGTATATAAAAAAAAATTTTTTAACAAAATGTTCCGATTAATGTTGCACAAAATTGGTTAATATGAAAATGATCTGCATGACATTTTTGGTGACTGATATAAAAAAATTTTTAATCGACAATATTTCTTTCCTATATGATGATGTTTTAAAGAACAAAACGTAAATTTATAATGAAAGAGTGTAATTTTTGTAATGTTCAAGAAAAATATCGAGAAAAATATATAACTACTGAAAAAACTTAATAAATTTACAATCATTTTTAATAAATCTCGATATAGTGGTTGATCTGCTATGGCGTAATATTTTGTTACACCTAACTGTTAATTTAATAAAAGTTAATCAAATGTCGATCACGAAACTGAACCTTCTTTTTCTACAAATTTCTTAGTTTATAAAAAGATAATATAAGATTGCATAATGTCCAATATTCGAAAAGAAGTAGTTAATGCAGCACTTAATAGAGCATTTGCATTAATAGATACTACTATTCATAATAAGGCCGTTCCAATTTAATCTTTAGTTTAACGTCCTCCCCCCCCCCCTCTATTTTTGAAAAATTCAAGGGTGATTTAAACATATATGTTTGATATGTTTAAATATGCTTAAAAACACCCCCTCCTTTACTAAAATTTAATAGTACCGAGAATTTCCGATTTTACCGAAAATTTCCGAAATTTTTAATATGTTTAATTTTCATGTTTGTTTAAATTATCCCCTCCCCCCCCTCAAAATTTTTGGCCGGAAAGGACGTTAAACTAATTATTAATTTGGAACGGCCTAATATACATAAACATTTTGAATTTAAAAAACAAACACTTCTTGCAGATAAATCTCTTACAGAAGATGAAAAAACTGAGGCAATAAAATCAATAACTGAAACTTATGACAGAGGAAAAATTCATTATAATTCAGGAACAAAAAGAATTTGTGAGAATTGTAATCAAGAATGTTTGGCTACATTATTTTGTGAATATTGTGTTCGAAATTATTTAAAAGCAAAATTTTCAAATTGGATGTCTGGAAATGATAATATTGATAACTTAATACAAAAATGTCAATCAGAAACACTCCTTCCGAGTAAAATAATTGAATGGATACCATATAATAATTTACAAAATATTGAATACCTAACAGAAGGTGGATTCTCTAAAATTTATACAGCAATTTGGATTGATGGATATTATATTGAATGGGATTCTAAAAAACAACAATTAAAAAGATTTGGAGAACAAGAAGTAATACTTAAAAAATTAGAAAATGTTGAAAATGCAAGTAATAGTTGGTTTGAAGAGGTTTGTATTTTAAGAGTGTATAAGTAGAAGTCCTTGATATAAAAATTTTTTAATAAATTTTTTTTTTATAGGCTAAATCACACTTAACTATAAGCAATAAATGGCCACGTATTGTCAACTGTTATGGTTTAACACAAGATCCATCAAATGGAAATTTCATGCTTGTATTGAAAAAAATGGATTTAAATTTAAGAGAATATTTGCAGCAAAATCATAATCGACTTACATGGAAAGAAAGAATTCAAATTACATTTAATATAATTTATGCACTTGATGATATTCATGTGGAGGGTGCAATTCATAGAGATTTGCATTCTGGAAATATATTATATGAAAAAAGAGAACAGAATTGGTATATTAGTGATTTTGGATTTTGTGGCCCTGCAGATAAATCATTAAAAAGTATATATGGAAATCTTCCTTACATAGCACCTGAGGTTATCGCTGGAAAACAGGCTACAAAATCATCTGATATTTATAGTTTTGCTATGCTTATGTGGGAAATTTCATCTGGTCAACCACCATTTCTTAATTGCAAACATGATTATGATCTTATATTGAATATTATTAATGGTATAAGACCAAGAATAGTATCAGGAACTCCTTTAGAATATGAAAGTTTAATGAAACAATGTTGGGATGCTGATCCATTAAAAAGACCTATGCTTATATACACTGTATAAAAAATGGATGAAATTAATTTATATTATCAAAAAAAAATCAAATGAACCAACTCAATTGGAAATAAATAAAAATTTTGAAATAAATAAAACAAGTAGTTTTAAAACAAACTACGCAAGTAGCAGATTATTTGCAAGTAACCTTCATCAATTTGAACTTTTTTCTGAACTAAAAAATGCAACAGAAGGTATTAATTATCATATACTTATCATTATTTATGAAATTTAAAATATCATATCGGCTGATTGGAAAAATCAAGCCAATTAATATTTAAGCTCAGTTGATGGGTTCATTATATAACTGATGGGTTGCTTATTGTCATTTAGCATATAAAATTATGGGAGGCTTTTCTGATCAGCCGATATGTATTATATTTTTTCAAAATTCTCAATTATAATAATAGAGGAACAAGAAGGTATGAACGAACCATTTTATTTGAAAGTTATTTACTTATATAATACCTAATGATTTTAGTTCTTTGTAGCATTTTATAGTAAATATAGTAAATCATATGATGACTTTCAAATTCCTGATAATAGTAAGTGTCTATTATGATATGATATTCATTAATCATTTTACTAATTGAATTTTTGCTTTATAGTTGATGATTTTAATAAATCGAGTAATTGGAAAAATAATAGTACATCAAAGATGAGTAGTATTTTTAAAGGTACTAATTTCACTAACTGAATATTAGATCTTTTAAATTACAAATAAGTATTAAATTATATCTTAAATTTTTTTAGCTAATAGTAAAGATGCTCAAAATGATTATGAAATTGAAACAATGCAACAACAGATTAAGAATATCAATCTCGAAGGTATTTACATATTAAATCATATCAATTCAATAATATCATAATTTCTAATTTATTTATCTTACAGACGAAAATGAAATACATAATAATCCAAATCTTCATTCAGAAGAACAAGATGAATCTGAAATTCCTGAATCCTGATAGTATTTAAATTTTTACATGATGTTAAATTACTAAATTTTTATAGGTTTGGTTTCTTTGAATTTATTTTATATTTTTATATTTTTTTTTAAAATAGTTTAAACACTAAGATTAGAGTAGCAAGATAAAATGTTCTGCAATGTTTCTTAGTTTGTAATTCAAATTATTCATTCAATTTAGTTATCATATAAATTATTAACTTTAAATAAATTTATTTCTTTATGCAGTACTTATAAAATTCAAAATCAAAGTCAATTCAGTAGTCTATAATATGTTCTTTTAACATAAATATAAATTGTTTGATGAACAGTTTCAATGTCTAAAATTTATGATTCACAACGATATGTACTAATATAAATTTATACAATGGGCCCTTAAATTTATTATATAAAGCCTTTCCATATTGCAAACTTAAAACATAGAATATTAATTGCTCTTTACAAACGCCTGGAAAATGGCGTTTCTTTTATATTTTATGATTATCATTCAGTCTATTTGACATGCGTTATTATATTTTTTCTAAAAATTTAAACGAGTAATGCATTTTAATAATGTTACACTCAACATCAAAAATTTTTTTTTTTTTAAAAAAAAAAAGCAATAAAGCATTAAGCATGAGATCAATCTTGGAAATGGAATTATTTAATATTTTACCAGACAAAATAATTTTTTTTTTATATTTCATGATAGTCAACAATTGTTTAAGAAACTGTTATTATTTATAATAATGGACATTAATTTAATCATAATTACGCTTTTACCTTACGGAGATAAAATAAATAATACAACTATCATAAACAAAGAAAGAAGTATATATATTATATCTTTAACTAAATTACAAAATTTATCGATTTTGAAAGTATCGAATGCAAATTATAAAGTTACTGTACGTGAGATATTTATGAAATAACATAAATCTTTGTTGTTAAAGTAATTAACAATGTATGAAATGAATTGTGACATACAATATCAAATTGCACATGAAACCTAATAGAGAACATATCAGATGCGAGCCTTTCAAAGAAAAATTAGGAGTTACTTTGAATGAATTACTAGTACTATTTTTTTTTTTTTTTTATTTAATATAAATACATTAAGCATTATAATATAGTTATATGTTGAATAAAAATCAAAATATTTAACATGTAATAAAGATAAATACTTTTAACATTAAAATTAGTTATAAAAATATATACCAGTTTAATAATTTCTCAAATCGTTTCAAAAAACGATTTGTCAGCTGACTATTGATATCCTGATATTTCATCAAGTTTATCAATATATTGCAAATGAGCGTACTGATAGGAGAACGTAAGCTACTTTTACAATTGCATCACAGTAACTTAGAGCTATAAAAATCATCTTTAGTAATTGATCGCATTTTTTACCATCATGGAATACAGTACTATCAATTTCTTCCAGAATTTTCTTTTTCACACCTACTGTAGATTGATATAAATAGACAATTTTGTCATTTTTGTGACATGTTATTGGTCAGCATAGTTTTTTCTCGTGATCGTCATATTGGCTATTAAATGAATTTTTCTAAGAAGTTTCCTATTAAAATTGATGTAATTCCCCACCTTCATAACACTGAATCCTTTTCACTATTTTTTTTAGCAAAAGTATCCCAAACAATTACATCTTTCATGTAATAGAAAGCTTTTCCAATAAAGAATTATTTAAGTTTCGACAATAATAAGTATTTACTCTTGAATACATTTCCATAAGATAAAATTTTTTTTCTTTAGTATTTTTTCGTAAAAGCGAGATGTTATGTTATTCTTTGAGTATTCTTTAAATTTTTAATATTTATTGAATCCTAATTAAATGCAAAAGTTATCTAATTTTAAAAACTTGGGGATTTTTCTAGTAAAAGACAAAGAAAATTCCCGAATTTGATATCATATTAATTGATGATCAATAAAAATCTTTATTAATAAAATTTCATATAAGATCATACATAGCTTTGATTTAATTAGTTGACAGCGCACCCCAACATGTTATGTACTGTTACTTTAGTTCATGAAACTCCCATAATGAATTTACGATTCGACTCCAGTAAGAATTAATTGTTAGCAAAAAAACATCAGCAGCCGTTAGGAGATTTTTTTAAGAATCTATTGAGATAAAATCCTTTTAATAGAGTCCGTCGAGATGAAAAGGGCGCAGTAAGTTACTTACGAAAGAGTGACTAGCTAATTGAAACCATTTAAAGTGAATGGAAAAATATGTTAGAATTGCGCCACATCTTTGATCTTAAGGTAGAACTAGCTCAATTTCAGTTATCTAGATCCAATGATGCAGAATCCAGATTGAATGATGGTTAAGTAGTTCTATTGCCAGGTTTAACATAAAGAATCACGCTATAATTTTCAAAAAATTCTATCCTTTTTGATTTCTCATACTATAGATAGTTTTTGTGGTATAAAAATAAAGGAAGAACGAAAAGAAATTTATTAGGAGTGAGGGACATAATTCTGTAATGAGAACAAGAATTATATATTTTTTTTGTCAGGTGATTTGTCGATCAATATAAATAAAAATTTTAAATTTGATCGTATAAAACACATGGTAAAATAATTATAATTATAATTGCTATGATATAAACAAATTAATGATATATAAACTTCAAAGAACCATTAATAATTAATATATAATAATTACTCCTTTTCTTATACAATTTAAATACTTTTTTATTGATAGTGTTACTACCTATTACGCTAAATAAATATTAATAACAGAAAATAATAATAATTTATGATCAAAAGACAACAGTTTATGCGGATAACATAAGCATCAATTAACATAATGATATACTACTATCTAATATACATAGAGTCGATGATTATTAATAATCAACTAGCCACTTAATAATAATTTTTCAGCTGCTTTTAATTTATCATTCTCTTGATTCTTTATTAAAAACTTCAACAAACAGATAAAAATGTTAGGAGAAATGTATGGTCTAAAGAAAATGAAACAAGGAATGAATGTTATTAGAAATGGTTGAAAATGATTTCTTTTTTAATATTAGATAGAACAGTCCTGTATTTTGAAACCCATAACTATCTACTATATTTCTTATGTTATTTTTAATTATTACTTTTAATTTTCATGTACTTTATTTTTTTTTAAAAAAAATATTTTATTAAAAGTATTTAGCTATTAATTTTTTATATTACATTTTAACTATTTTTAATAATTTTCATATTTTTTAAAAAAAAGTAATAATAAATTTCACGTAGTGAAAAAAAAATTTTATTTTTATTTTTATTTTTAAAATATAGACTCGACTGGGGTCGAACGCTAAATAAGAATAAACATGATCTAAAAGAACAATAAATTCTAAGCTAATGTTAAACCCAACCTCTCGGGGGAGCCTGAAGGGGTCGTCTTGCCCATTATTCAACTGAATAACCAGGCATAACCTGGAGCCTAACAACCAAAACGTAAAAAAAGTAACAGCCTGTATTTTTCTTTTCGCCCACATGGGCGACCACCTGTAAATACTGTCAGAGGTGGAATGATTCACACTATTCTTAATTGTTCTAAATTCATTAAACTTCTATTTACGCTAATAAGGGGTAAGGTTTGATTAGTGTAAAAGAAGGAAAGGAAGCTGCTAAAGTTTTGAACTCATTACAAATGTGTACATAAAGTATAGTAAAATTAATAAAATCTAAGATTAGATTGAACTAGAAACAGGGGAGTCAGTAGGGTAACCCGTATCCAGTCGTATACGTTTAATTTGGTCTCTGTGAAGATAACGATCACAGAGGTTAGTAGTAGTGTCCCGTTTCTTGGGATGAACTTCGAGGCATTTAGTATCGTCAGAGGTGTCATTATAGGCGATGTCCTCAAGGTGTGGAAGCATATAATTTTTCGGGGGTGAGTCCAGATAAGTCTGGTAACGTTTAAGTTCACGCAGGTACATGCGGTGTGGACAATTACCGGTCGCATAGTTCATGAACCAGTGATAGGTTGTCTGTATTGTGGTAAGGTGAGTCGTAGTATCTAGACGACGTTGAAGGTGTTTGGCACTGGTGCCATGATAAGTGTGTAGAGTTGATTTGCGTTTGGCCTTATCTAACTGACGTTGTATTTCTTTAGGCTTGAGTTTAGGACGCCTATTGGAAAGTGATTCCTGAAGCTCGACCACCAGGTTGGGTTGATGTCTTAATGCGTATGAGTTCTTAACAACTCGTAACCATTCTCCAGATTCAGGTGGCAAATAACGTCCGTATTCATCATAAATAGGAGACCTAGGGACGAAAGGTTTAAATTTATCAGCTAAGGTCTCTCGGAACGGGTTGTAATTTTCCACGGTGGTGACCATGGTGTGCGCGGGACGTGGTGAGAACGTAATAGCATCGTTAGATGTCAAATTGTTTGTAGATTTGTTAAAGTTAAAATCATTCATCGAGATTCCTGATGAATTTAAGCACAATCGAAGTGCATTAGTAGGTAGATCAACTTTGAATACACTGGAGAACACCAATTTGGGTTCATCTAGGAGGAGGTCTTCTTTAGGGACCGGAGGTCCACCTATCGGTTCGTAAAATGGAATGTTAAACGGGTAAGCATTAGCATCGGGAATTACCGATTTCTTCGAATAGGTGAGATGTGAGAGGGTCTTGTGAATAGTTTGATATTTGTGAAAAATAAAATGATTTTTTCGAGTAACTTTAAGTTTCTCTTCGAAACTAATACATGCTGAATTGTAGCGGGTATTAAAAACTCTATTGCAAGTTCGATCGAAACGCTTCTGTTGTTTCTTTTTGGTCTTCAGATTAGGAGAGGGTATAAATTTGAAGTTAAATAACCGTTTCGTGTACATATGACGGAAATTATATCGAATGATGTTTTTATTACTAGCGGCCAGATATTTCATAGAGTATTCAATGCCAAGGCGTCGCGAAAAAATTTCCTTTTCTGTGCCTTCTTTCCATCGATTGTAGAGTTGTTTGGCGTGGGAAGTTTGTTATTAGACAAAACTTGATCTCGTAGACCATTGTGTTTTATGAAATGAAAGAGTCAATTTCGAAAGAATTCTTTCTGATGATCGACACAAGCGTGACGATCATTAGTCATTACAAAAGGACTAGGGATATGGCAAAAAGATATATCTTTGGACTTTTTTAAAGTCATTAAATGTTGGCAAGGTACGTAACAGCCAAAGTGAAAATGATATCTCTTGTACGAGAAATTGAAGAAAGTTTTGGAAGATTTGTTATGTTGACTTCCGATGTGAGGGTGATCTTCATTATCAGGTAAGAGAGTATTGCCTACACGTGATCGGGTAATAATAAACCAATCCAATAACTTGCGGCGGATAAGGTTAAATATCTTTGTTGTATTCTTTGTGGTATGACTCGTTGTAAGGAAAAGAAGTGCGTGAGCATTTTACTAATTTGGAATTTCTTGTTGGGAAATGGACTCGTTGAAATATACCGAGTCGGTTTAGTCTGCATGTTGTAATCATTTGTATGTATGATAAGGTGAATATCATTGGTGCCTGAAAATTGATCGGCAAGCTCAAAAATGAGCGTCTAAATTTGTAAATCTTGTTATAACCGGTACGATTATTAGTATTCACGTGAAATTTTTTCACCGAAATAAGGAAACTATATTCATTATGAAGGGTGGGTTTTTTAAAGGTTTTTTGTAAAGAAGGGAAAGAAATAGCCTCTAGTGGCATATGTTCTATAGAGATAGTGTTATTTTCCATCTCTGACTCTTTCAAAGAACAGTTAAAATAAGAGGAAGCCTTTCTGTGGAGGCCACCCCGTGGTCCTCTCCTCTTGAAAAAAAATTTTTATTCGTGAGAAAAATAGCTTACTGCGGAATTTTAACAAAAAAAACAGAAAGGGGAAAGAGTTTTTTTTTTTGTGTGAAAAAAAAAAATTATTGCCACAACTATCAAAATATCACGTGCTTGAAATCATGTGATTTCAAATTATTAAATTAAAATGAATTTAGGAAATATAATCCGTTCATGCGCCTTTAGAAGATTTGTGTCTAAATAAATTTGGTCCGATTAATAATGTCACGTAATTATTAGGAAATTTTTTGCCGATTACAGTATGTATTACAAAGCCACAAATAATAGCTCTAACTTTAATTGGGTTAGATTCTCAAATTTATAATAATGGTAGTAAATATACCTTTGTCATTAACCATCTTAAAAAGGAGATTCGTTAATAATAAGATAAAGAATAGAAGATTCTTTGGAAACTAGTAACAAATTTATTAACACAGAACCTATCCATTTGATGAAAATTATTTTGATTTTGTACAACAAAAAATTTTTGAATGCATGGCAAAAGAATTAACTAACCTTAGGAGGTATTTATCGTCAATCCGCAGCAAATACGTAAATTAAACGTCAGGATTTAATTAATTACGTTTGCATGCATGTTCTTACGATTTTCCAGATTAAAACCCCGGTTTATGAAAAACTTGGGTTTTAACGGTTATGTATCATAGATTTTACTTCAAAGAAATTTATTTCTTTTTTTTTTTGGGAAATGTTACTTCGTTTGAACTTAATAATTATATAATCTTTTAATGACAACTTTAGTTTCCTTTTATAAGATAGTCGCTGCTAATCCATTCCTTGAGTTTGTGAGAGTTGCACTAAGGATTTTATCAGGTGCCCAAATGGAAGGTACATCATAAACTACTATTTCAGAAACTGCCTCGTCATTTTATGAATGAACAAGAAAATATTAAAGTATTGAATTGAGCAACTGATTTAGGATGTGTCTTTGGAATACTGCTGTTTATATTTAAACTTTTTTAATGATTTAGCTTAAAACAACAAAGAAAATTGTTAAAGCTGACCAGTGGTGATGGTTACCAAACCAGCATTATGATGTACTTTTGGCCAGAATTAAAAATCTAATAAAACATTGCCGGCGTTAATCATAAATTCACCACTGGTGACCGTCAACCATTGGCAATACCAAATAACGAAAATGATATATTAAATTTTTAATTTTAAAATATGAAGGATATTTATGGAGATGGAGCCAATGAAATTCTCCTTTCAAAAGTTCAGTTCTTAAAGAACGTCGTAATGAAGTGTTTCTTTGTTCGAAATTTGGCGCTGTTATGAGTCCAAATGGTGAATTTAAAGGTATATCAAGTACACCAGAATACGTTCATCAAGCTTGCGAAAATTCTTTAAAAATATTATATCTAATACGTAAGTAAAATGTTATTTAATATTATTGCCAAGAACTGTAATAATGAACTATAAATTTGTAATTTTTGTAGGCTCATTAAAGATACTGTTAGCGTTCTAGTTAAATAAGGAAAATTAAATATATCGACCTTACTGAATGTTCCATAACAACTCTTCTTGGTAGACCGTTATTTTTGCCATGGGATAAAATATTTGTTATACTGTATAAAAAAACACGTAGATTTTAGGTACAAATCGTAAATATTATTCTTTTAATTTGAATTTAATACTATATGATGAAATTTTTTGTTTCACTGGACTTTGTTTTCCTAATTTTTTACTCTTCCTTGTTTTCTTAATAACTTTTTTCCATTTTGTACTAAAGAATTTTAATTTTTGTTCGATATAATTTAATAATAACTTGTTTTTATTTATTTATATTTAATTAATTCATTCATTATTAGCAAAGATAATTGTTAAATTAATAATACACAACGATTATTTACGTGCGGATATATTATTTGTTTCGGTTTTATTTGATTGTAACATATTAAACCTTTTTTTTAAAAAAAATAAAAAAGATATAATAAAAAAAAATAGAAATTCTTGAAAGAATTCTTTACGCATAATGTAATTTTTACGGTTTGCAACTTCCATTGATGCAAAAGTATCGGACTTAACCCTCCTGATGGCATCATATGACTCTCTTATTGTAAAATTAATATATTTGTACTGCGTGTGGGTCAAAGAACGATAATAATAATTTGTTTGTATCACCGGAATAAACACTCCGAAAACAATCAAATATCAATAAACATTTGTAGATCACAAATGTGTTATGAAAAAACTCTTCCTGCTACAGCGTAAAAACATATAAGTAAAAAATATAGGAAAGAGAAATTCAAAAAATACATTGTATTTTACACTTTATCTACCATTATGTCTACCTCACAGTCAACGGGTATGACACGTATGACTCGTAGTGTGACTCGTAAAGGAACGCTACAACCAGGAGAACAAGTTATTGATATTTCTACAGGGTCAACTTCAACTGCCTTTCAGGATATTGACCCCTTTAAAAAGCCATATAATCCCCCACCGGCTACTAATAAAGATGATGAAGGGTTTAAAACAGTTCAATCAAAAAATAAAAAAGCAAAAAAAGAGGATACTGTGACACAAAAACAAAAAGAAGTCATGAAGGAGGTCGCCCAAGCAACATTGGGAAGAAAACAGTCTCAACAGAGCGAAACTGCGGCTGCAAATGAGTCACGTGACAATAATCATCCCATTCAGCCGAATTTAACCAAAAATATCACCCCAATGGATCTTGACCAAAACAATGACGATCATAATGCAGGAGATGAAACCAATGAAATTCCTGATGATGAAGATGATATTATTGATATAGCAATTATGGCTGAAAAGCCACAATTTAAAGTTTATTTTGATTTGGCACAAATTCCTGGAAAAAGCCATATTGGAAAAGTAAACCTCGTGAAAAAACTGCTTGCTCAACATCATATTGCATGTTTTCCAGGTAGAATTGATGCCAAGAATATTGAAATAGATGGAAATATCCAAAAACAGCATTATTATGTTTTTAAATGTGCTAATGAAACAGCATTTGAGAAAATTTTACGTGAACCCATTCCAACTAAAATTAAAATTAAACAACAAGATGGTAAAATTGTGGAACAAGATTTGAATGTTACGTTTAACAAAATAGAAAAAAAAGAAATTCCGGCTGAAACTCAACAGAATATTGATGAACACACGATTTTTGTAAACAAGATTCCTGCAGAATTGAGGAATTATCAGATTAAAGGTGTTTTTGGTACATATGGAAATATAGTAAACTTCAAAACTTTTATGAGAGGGCAGTATCAAAATGCTATTATCACATTTGATGACAAATCCGCAGTCCAACCATTTTACTATACTTGGGGCATCTTTATTAACCAACATTTGGTTAGGGTTAGACCCAAAGTTATGTCAGAAGATAAACTACATGAAAGAACAGCATATTACATTAAACTTGCAGGTTTACCACTAAATACATCAGCATTTGATTTAAGAGGATTTATGGAACGGTATAATGTTAAATATCTTGACATTCCAAGAAATTCTCGCTTTAATTATCCATTACGCTATTGTTTTGTTTATTTTCAGAACGAAGAAGATTTTCAAATCGCAACCAAACAAGCATTCTGTTTTAAAGAACACCAATTATATTGGACTGATGTAGATATGAAAACTTGCCACAGGTGTGGCAGTCCTGAACATCTTGCTATGCACTGTGATCATGAAGACAATCGTCCAAGATACAAAAACAGAAAAGAAGTACTTAAAGGTTTTAGACAAGCTAGACAAGAAAGAGATAAAAAATATGGAAGCTATGCACAAGCAGCTCAACAAGGACGTAATAGAAGACAAAGTTTTAATTCACGAAGACCTTGGAATAGAGCGAATCTATCACATGATAATAAATCACATGACCAAAATAATGTATTTTCTATTGACAAACCAAAACACCAGAGGCAAATGTCGATGACTAAGAATACAATTCAGGATAGTAATGTAGCCTTTACCATTACTAAAGCAATGGAAAAATTAGACCAACTTTGTAAAAATTTTACAGTTTTACAAAATGAACAACGTTCAATTAGTAATGAACTTAAAAGTATTAAAGTTAAACAAAATACCAAAGATACAACTAAACCAAATACAACAGTTAATAAAGCAGTGGGATCTAGTACTAAAGGAGTTACCAGAAATAATAACAAACGCATTCTCTTAGAAGAATCTTCAGATGATTCAACTCATGAATTATCAGACCTTGAAGAACGCTTTAAACAATCTGAACAAAAATCTCAAAATATGGCTACTGAACTTACAGATCTCAAAGGTACTATGCAAAAATTATTACAATTATTCCAATCATCAAATGATAATCATAATGTTGAGGGGGACAACACTTATGATGAAGAAATTATTGATATTAGTCAATAATTTCATATATTTTTCATTTTAATTTATGATGAACAATACTAATAATAATACTCAAACACATTCATTTAATAATAATTCAAATTCCCCTCTACACAATAGAAAAAATAATTCATCTTTTAACAAATTACCTGATGTTCTAAAAATAGCCACAATTAATATTAAACACCTAACTACGATTAAAAAAGAAGATATTATAGATTTAATTAAATTTAAAAATATTCAAATTTTAGGGGTTTCAGAAACATGGTTATCACACAAACAGTCAACATTTCAATTCTTGTCAGATCGGCAACAATATACCACCTTTTTCAACAATGAACATTACAATCAAAAAGGTAAAGGTGTAGGTTTAATAGTTAAGAAAAATATAGCACAATATATTTACAGAAATGGTAGTTACAATGGACGAATAATTTTTATTGATTTTATGTTTAAACATAATAAAAAATTAAGAATTATTCAATATTATGGTGTAGTTAATGCAAAAGCTTCAACAGAAAAGAAAGAAGAATCAAAAAAGACAATAAATGAACTTTTCAAATTAATAAGAGAAGCATTATCAACTCAACATGAATTAATAGTGATGGGTGATTTTAATCAAAAATATGAAAAATATAGTGAAAACAAAACAAAATCTACGAGAAACAAATATTGGAATAATATATTTTATGATTTAGAAGAAAAATTTAACCTATACGATCCACATAGAATAATGTATGATATAACACCATCCAATCCAATATATACTTGGACTAATGGTGTTAATTATAGTCGTATTGATTATATTTGGATTACAGAAAATCTTATGATGAATTATGAAGATACTATGTTTACTGATATCAGTCAAGACTTTCGTACAGATCATAAAATGCTTTCATTTTCTTTATGGACGGAAGAATTATGCAGTACTCATTTGGTTTTCAATCATAAACAAGAAAAAATTAAAAAGATAATTTATAAATATGATGAAATGAATAATGAAAAATGGGAAGAATATCAAAACATACAAAAAGATTATCTATCAAATACAATAAATGAACAATTCAATTTTGATGATATTGAAAAACATTGGGATGTTATTAAAAAGGGTATTTATAAAAGTAATGAAATTATAAAAAAGGAAAAGAAAAAAATTAATATAAAAAATAGAAACCCTAACCAACAAACAGAATCATATCAAGGACATCAATTCTTGATTAATTTAAGAAGACAAATAAAAAAGAAACATGGACGAAAATATTTAAAAGACCATTGGAATACAATAGGAGGTCAACTTAACAAATATAGTTCAAATAAAATAGAGTTCATGTGGGAACCACCAAATGATCAAAATTATCAACGTTTATTAGATAAGATAGAAATTTTATATAATATATATACAGATAGTTACAAAAAAGAATTAGAAATTTTAAAAGAAAATAAAATTGAAGATGCAATTAATAAACGTTGTGCAGATTTATACAATAATCAAAAAAGAATGATAGATAATATAATTGATCGTGAAGTAAAAACAATAATTTTAGATAGAGTTTTGATTGAAAAACCAGGAGAACAAATTAATCTTATTACCGATCCAAAAGAAATAAAAAAAGAAGTTAATTTACATTTTCAAAAAGTTGCTGGAACAACTAATAGACCTAAAGAAATACCAGAACAATGGCATAATCAATATGCTCCTTTAAATCATGTGGATAATAATATATATAAACATTTAATGGATGATATAACTGAAGATGAATGGAATAATCATATTCAAACCTTACCCAATGGTAAGGCATGTGGTCCAACTTCAATCTCTTATGAAATGTTAAAACACTCATCATTAGAAATGAAAAAAGAATTACTTTCTTTAACAAACAATATTTTAAAACAAGGAAAACTACCATCTGATTATAAATTAGCAAACATTTATCCTATATCAAAACCTAAGCCCTGGGGTTGTAAACTCATTAACACCCATCCAATAACCTTGTTAGAAACTTCCAGGAAGCTCATGGTATCCATTTTGAATGAAAGACTCGCCAAAATATTAAAAGAAAATAATGTATTAAAAGGAAATCAATTTGCAGGCTTACCAGGAAATTCAACCTTTGAGCCTATACGTATCATTAATGAACTTATACAAGATGCCAATGAAAATAATAAAGATCTCTGGTTTCTTGCTCTTGATATGAGTAAAGCATACGATAGAGTGAATATTTGTATGCTTGAGAAAGCTTTACAAAGAATCAAAGTACCACACAACTTTATCCATATAATAAAAGAATTATTCTTGGGATGTAAAAACCAAGTATTTACTGCAGCAGGAATGACAGATCCATATGATGTTCAAGTAGGAATAGTACAAGGTGAGATAATTTCTCCCCTACTTTGGTGTATTTACTATGATCCTCTCCTCTGTGAAATTAAAGAAAGAAACTTGGGATATAAATTGAAAACAAAACAAATACTTAATATTTATGAAAGAGAAGAAAAAGAAATCATAATTAGATTTCCAGGAATGGCATATATGGACGATACAAATTTTGTAACAAATGATCAGAAACAATTAGAAGAAATCTTAAATATTGCAGATGAATTCTATGATTTGAATGATATACAAATAAATAAGGAAAAGTCAGAATTGTTATTAAAAAGTTAAAATCATGATTATGGAAAACAAATTAATAAACATTTTGGCTGTCAAGATATTAAGATACATCCAACTTCTAAACAAGATTCAATTCGTATTTTAGGGGTCTGGTTTAATGCTTTTAATAAAAGATCATTTGTTTTGAACCAAGTTAAAACTGAAATTCGTAATGTTTGTAATGTCATGGCAAAAAAAAGAATAACAGATAAGCACATCAAATATATATTCAATCATGTCATTATACCAAGAATAGAATATAGATCACAAGTTACAATTTTTACGGATAAAGAAACAAACCAAATGATGGTACCAATAAGGAGATTATTTAAAAATAAATTGAAGTTTTCTAAATCTGCTCCAAATACTATTCTAGAAAGCAACTTAATAATATATAACTTACGCTCTATTCATGATAATCAAGTTCAAGCAAAAATTACCAATTTTTTTATACAAATTAATGATATAGGAATACTTGGTGAAATTATGAACTTACGTTTAATAGATTTACAAAATCAACTTTGGAGTCATGAGAATCCTGTTATACATATCCCCTTTAAATTAGAAAAAAATATTAAAAAATTAAAAAAATTAAAAAATAATTTTATATTGAATAATCTTTTATTAATGGAAAAAAATAATATTTCAATTAAAAAAGATAATATTCAAATAGGAAAAAATAAAAAAATAATAGGAGAAGGAAAAACTATTGCAGAAATTGTAGGAGAAACTATATTTTTTAAACATAGAAAATTTTTACGTTCATTAAATTTATTATATATAGATCAAGTTCTTGATATGGATGGAAAAACATTATTAACCTGGTGCCAACTTTATTCAAGAAAATTTATACAAAACACAGTATCAGGAAATCAACATATCCAACCAGCAATTTATAATATAATTAAAGAAATTATATGTGAAGAAAATTCTCTTTCTTTAAAATCACAATTTATTCAACAACCTGTTACATCACATCTTAAAGGATTTAATTTAATGCCAATTATTTTTCCAAATATTGAACAATATCAAATAGTGATGTATAAAGAAGGTTCTTCATTAGCCTTTGGAAGATTTTTAAATATTAATGAAGTTAATCAACAGATAAAAATACAACATTTAGTTAGAAAATCAGACGTTAATGAAAAAAATTTAATATTAGAGTTTTGTAAAGGTTGTAATAGAGGAATATTATCATCATCATTGTCGAAACCCATATGTTATTTATCTATTTCTTCACATAATGTATTTTTTATTCGACATAATTCTTTAAAGAGAAATTCATTTAAAGAAGGTTTTAAATTATTGGGAAATCAATTTCAAGAACTTAACAAAGTATTAGAATTACATTTACATTTCCAACTCCATCCACATTTATATATACCTCCTGATATTCGTCATCATGAATATATGTGTTTATATAAATTTAATATTATAGATAATTATATTGATTTATCAATTGACAAACCTCACTTATATTATATCAAAAAAAAATTAGAAACTTATGTTGAACGAGAATTCCATTGTTATACAGATGGTTCAGTTAAAGATTTAGGTAAACCTTCTGTAAGTTTAGTTTATGGAACAACATTTTACACACCACAAAAACAATTTATAGATCAATTTTATTCAAGTGGAGAAAATAATATTTCGGTAGTAAAGTCTGAATTATTACCACTTTTAATCAGCCTAATAGTAATGCCGAAACAATAAACAGTTCATATTTTTACAGATAATGATCAAAATTTTTCAACATTCCATAAATTACAGTCAAAAAATTTTAAAATAACACCAAGACAATATTTTAAAATGATAAATAATGGAATCCTTTGGCAAATAATAATGGAAATAATAGAAATTTTATCTTTAAATATAACCTTATTTAAAGTACAAGCACATGCCGAAGATATATATAATAATTTTGTTGATCAACAGGTAGCACGTATTCATGATGAGGTAGATCTACATAGTATTAACATAAGAAA